TCAGGTCCTGCTGAATCCAGAGCCCACCTAGCTACGCCTCAAAGTGATTTTTTCTAAAGTGTAACTGTGTGAGGGGCAGCTAGGTGGCGTAGCGGATAGAGCATCGGCTCTGAAGTCAGGAAGACCTGAGTTCACAATCTGGACTCAGACCAAACACTTGACACTTACTATCTGTGTGACCCTGGGGAAGTCACTTCACCCCAATTGCCTTAAAAAAAAAGAAAAGAAAAAGAAAAAAATCACTTTGGCAGCTGTATAGAAGATGGACTGGAGTGAGGAGATACTTGAGGTAGAGAGAGACCAGTTAGAAGGGTATTGTAGTAGTCCTGGTAAGAAAGATAGAGAAGGGGATGTATATGAGAAAGGTTGTGACAAGATTTGACAGTGGATTGGGGATGTGTAGTGTGAGTGAGTCAGGATGGCACTGAAGCTGAGAGCCTGGATAACAAGGATGTGTCTTTATATCAGTAAGAGGGAAGTTTTAAAGAGGGGAGGGTTTTGAGGGAAAGGGGAATGAGTTTTGTTTTGGATATGCTGAGTAGGACGTCAAGCTTGAGATGTCCAAAAGGTTGTAACATGGGACTGCAATTCAAGAGAGACTAGAGCTGGTATATAGATTGGAGAACCCATCTGTGTAAGAGGTATTAGAAACTATAGGGTAAAAAAAGAAGGCCAACAACAGAGCCTTAGTTAAGGAGTATGAAGTGGGTGAAGATCAATCAAAGTAGGTTGAGAAGGAACAGTAGATACAGGAGAACCAGGACAGACCAATATCAAGAAAGTCAGAGAGGGGCAGCTGGGTGGCACAGTGGATAGAGCACCGGCCCTTAAGTCAGGAGTACCTGAGTTCAAATCTGGCCTGAGACCAAACACTTGACACTTACTAGTTGTGTGACCCTGGCAAGTCACTTAACCCGAACTGCCAAAAAAAAAAAGAAAGAAAGAAAATCAAGAGAGAAGAGTATCCAGGAGGTAGATGAAATATCAAGTGCATCGAAGGTCAAGAAGGATGATGAGGATTAAGAATAAGTAATTAGATGAAGCATTTAAAAGATCATTAATGAATTTGGTGAGAATAGTTTCTGTGGAATGATGAAGTTGGTTCTGTCTTTAGAATTAGATTGTAATTTAAGGCCATAATGATATTAAATTCTTCATTGTCAAGGTCAGCACTACATAGGTTTAACAAATAGGTATTTACATGTTCTTATACTACAAGGAGTTTGATTAAACTCCATTTAAAAAACCCTCACTAATAAAAAAAAATCATTCTTTTCCAGACTCCAAAAAACAAAGCTACAATCTTCAAGTTATGCAGCATCTGCCTGTACCTGCCACAGGAACAGCTCACCCACTGGGCGGTTGGCACCGTTGAGGATCACCTCCGCCCTTACATGCCAGAATAGAGTACTGGCCAGCAAAATGGGGAAGATCACAGAATGCAGCAGTGATTTTTTTTCTTGTTTTCTTACCATTTTATTCTTTCAGAGTTTAGAAGAAAATGGACTCACGCACAGAACACTATACATTGTGAAACTTCTTCATCCTGGATCTTTCTTTTATCATTTGTATCTCGGAACTTTAAAAAAAAGATGTCTTCTGCATGGACCTTGTGAAAGAAGATGCTTTGCGTATTTCTGCATTGCATCAGCATCTTACTAAAATGTGAAATGAAAGGACTGTTGTACACTGAAATGCTTAAATGTATCTGAAAGCACAAGGTGAATTCATTTGTGATGGTCTTCCCATTTGTGCTGGTTATGCCTCCCCAGCATTTTGTCATCAGTATTCAGAGGGTGAGAAGTGAATGTAACAGGTATATACTTTTTTTTAAAAAGCAGCCTTAGCTTGCTGTAATCAGTTCTAGACCACTGTCCAATTCATTCTAATGAACAGAAATGGTTGCTACATGTAATAGTAGTGGGGAAAGAAATCTCACATGAAAAAAAGAATCATTCATTGTAGGCATTTTTGCCTCTTATTTTTGCTGGGTCATGTTTATTTCCTAGCACTTCAATGTGTCTTTTTCAGATCTCTTTCCCCAAGTTGCTGTGTAAAAAGAGTATTCTGCTGAGTGGATACAATTATACACATTAAAGCAGACGAGGAGTCTGAAGTAGCTTAAAGCAGCTGTTAAAACTTAAGACAAAATATATTTATAGCTGCAAAAAACCATACATGATAGAATTTTTGTTTTCTTGAAGAGATGACACTTAAAAAGCTGGTAAATTGTGCAGGAAATACTGGTTTCTAAAATGTCATAAAAACCCAGTAAGGTGGTTTTTGTTTTGGGTTTGTTGTTTTTTTGTTTTGTTTTGTTTTTTTGCATAGAAATTATAAAACAGTTGTGATCTTAAATTGTAAAATAGTGTTTTTGGAGTGTCGAAGTTGGTTCTGATGGAACATTTTGTTAAGATTGTGCAATGAACCTAAGGAAGACTACTGTATAGGGGTTTTTTTGTTTTGTTTTTCCTTTTTTTTTTTTTTTTTTTTTTTTTTTTTTTTTGTTTTTTGTTTTTTGTTTTTAAATGAAGGCTTTGCTTAAGGGTTAAGTACTTTATTGGAGTAAATCTGTATAAGCCTGTTCCCTTGGGGTAAAAATTAGTGCTTACCTGTTTCAAATTT